ACACACACACAAAAAAAAAAAAAAAAAAAAAAAAAAAGAAAGGAAAAAAAGACAGAGATAAATCTCTTGTTATGCAGCTAATCATTAACAGCATTTTTGTGCCTAGCTGAAGAGATTTAGAACTTTTCTAAATTTTTATAGTCTATCAGACTAAATCCAATTAAACCAAAAAAAAAAAAAACAACCAGACACAGCCCTCCCTCTCCCACTCTCCCTGAAAAACAGAAACTCCTCTTAAAACTTTTTTCTATGTAAAGTTTTCCTTCATAAAATCCTCATATTTGATGCATATTAACTTTCTGTAATGTGCTAGCTTGCATTTTATCATAGAAATATCTTCTCCTGCAATGGGTTACGTTAGGTCTAAAATAGAAATCTATTGAAAACTGGGTAATGGAGACTGAATACTTTAAAAAAAATAAATAAGGTAAGATATCACATGTTTTCAGTGTTTGCTTAAAAATTTTTAAACCATTTGTGGGTCAGTAGTTATGATACTAAACTGATGGGAGGTATATTTTTTACTGCTGCTCCAAATTTATTTATTATTACCTTTAAAATTTGTTTACGTTCTACAACCTTTTTTGACTTTATAAGAAGACCTCAGATGCTTTCTCAAGTATTATTTAATTTATCTAACAAGTCTTCCAACTTCTACTCCAGATGATGTGCCTGACATTCCTGTTTATAAAAATATATCTGTTTCATAATTATGTTTGTTTTTCTTTATGAATCACTCAGTGTAGGTCAGGTTTTGTTTTCTGGAAGTAGAAAGAAAAAGCAGAAGGAAATATAGCCCTGATATGGGACCACAGGGGATTTCTCCTTTAGACTGATTTCTTTTTAGAATTGTGAACTTTGTACACAGATTTAAGGTCAGTGTATGGAGATGAACAACATGAAACCCCTTAACCAAAATACTTAGCCTAACTAGAGCACAATGACTTTAATACCATTGGTCTAACGTTATGACTCAACAGAGCAAAGTGGGAACATGTCAATGCTCTCCAGACCAGACACCCATGATAAGCTGAGAAATTGTACCAGAAAGATCTTTCTTCGTGGTACACAGCAGAGCAGCTACCTTTCCACAGCTTTCCTAAGGCAAAGGGGAAGCAGTATGGGTGCGTGCTCTGGCGAAGCTGCCTTCTGCAAAACACACAACATCCCATCAACTGACTGCAAGGAAAGGTGCTTAGAAAACAGGGGAGTTTTAATGTTCCCCCATTTGTGATTCAGCTAGAAAATCTGGAGGATATTCATTTGAATAGAGAACTTGTGAGCTAGATCCTCACCTCACCATCTGCACAATAATATCACTGAAATACACTTAGTGGTACTGTTTCAGGACATAAGCTGGCTAAGAAATGAGGGCACCAGAGGTTCACAGAACTTATTCCAGAGGTCTGTAAAGGTACTTAAATGATATGTCTAAAAGATAGGGAAGTTTTCACTTTTATTAAATATCCAGGTGTAGATGTGTTTTAAAAGCAAGATGGATAATGTCAACATATGAAAGGTGAACAAAAAGCTTTGTGAATGTGACTGTTTTTTCTGAAGGCAACAAGGCAACACTGAGGTCTGGTTAAAAAAGAAGTGAATAGGGACTTATTATTCAAAACATGTCTAAGTGGTTTGGATGCCTACTTCTCAAGACTGTTAATTGTTGTTAGGTATATAACTCACAGTTTTTTGAATCCCACTAAGTACCTATCTTGAGCTGCCTCAGCACCTCTAAAAATCTGATTGTCTGTTTACTTTTTAACCTCTGTTAAATTTACTCCCTGCTAATGCTCATAGTTTCTCCATTCCGTACTTGATTTGGGAAAGTTGCATTCTTAACAATCTTCATATATCAGCTACTGCCCCTGATCCTCTCAGGGAGGTTGCCACCTTCAAAGGTGGTGTATATATATATATATATATATATATATATATATATATATATATATTTAATT